TTGTGGCGAATTTGGGATTATAGAGGATTTTTAGTTACTTTTTTTTTTTTTGTGTTTCAATGATTTTTAATTTAAAAAACAAAAAAAAAAAAAAACCGGGACACTTGCTAACAAAGGCGATTTGGGGGTTAAACCTGACTAAATTGATATTAAATGTTAAAAATTTTTGGTTGTTGAAGCACCAAATTCATCCCTCCCTTTAAAAAAGCATTTGCTTGTTGTTCGTTTTTTCTATATAAATTTTATTTTAATTTAATTCATAAACATGTGCTTTTAAAATTTTTAAAATGCTATACTTCACTACAATTAAAAACTTAATTTTTTAAAGTATTAGTGTATCAGCCAAAAAGACATTTAAATTGATAAATTTGGAAAAAAATTCAAATTGGCAAGCGGGGGGTCCCCCGAAACTAAAAAACTGGGAGGGTCACTGAGAAAAAAAAGTTTGGGAACCTCTGCTCTGATGTTTGTTTTAAAAGGGTGCCTCATGCTGTAAAAATATTTCATTTTCCAAAAGAATTTTTCTCATACTTATAAAAAATCATGTTCATATTTTTTTAAACATGGTTGTGGGGTTGTGTGTTTTGGGCGTGCGTATGTGTGTGTGTGTTGTGTGTGTGTGTGTGTGTGTGTGTGTGGTGTGTGTGTGTGTGTGTGTGTGTGTGTGTGGTGTGTGTGTGTGTGTGTGTGTGTGTGTGTGTGTGTGTGTGTTTTAAGCATAGTGCAATACAAAGTTTTACATTCAAAGGGACAGGAAAATATCGGCCTTTTTTTATTTTTCCATTTTTTTTTTCCTCAAGCAACAAATTCCCACTTGCCTTGAAATTTCCCTTTTTTTTTTTTCCTCGAATATGTTTCCGGGATTCTTAATTTCTCCAATAAAAAACCCCCCTTAAACCCCAAAGGCCCGGATGGAAGTACTTCAGTACCATGGACAAACTGCATCTTTTAAAACTAGTACTAATAATCTCACAATAAAATTAAAATATAAAAATGAAGATAGAAGGAAGAAACATCAGTTTCAGTAAAGCGTATGGGGCAAACTTTTTGGAGCTTTTGGGACCCGTACGGTATACGGGAAAACTGATTAAGGGGTTAAATCAATCGTAAATTCATTTGTTTTAAAGTATTCATTTGAATCTTAAAAATTTTTATTAATGGGTAGTGTTGTTTCAAAAAAGGTTTTTAAAATTAATGGGTATATTTTAATATATATATATATATATATATAATAAAAGAATATTGATAATATTAAAATTTCATATATTTAAATAAATAAATATTTTGGTGCTGTTAAAATTAGAATCTACAACCGACTAGAGTTTTAAAAGAAAATGACAAATTCTAATTTTTTTTTAAGGGGAAAAGTTTTTTTTTTTTACATATATGTGTAATAAAATAAATATAATTATTATAAATTATCTTACGTAACGGAGGAAGGAAATATTATGGAATAGAGAACCAAGTATAACAAACCAATATAGATATATAAAGTCAACTGAACCAAAATGGGAAACTACTACGTTTTCTAGAACTGTCACGGGCTTATGATGGAGCTTTATGGAATCCTAATCTATCCCATCAACAGAAAATAATATATAATAAACAATTAATGTGTGAGTAAAAAAAATTAAAGTCAATTCCTACTTAGGTGAACAAAGAAAAATTTTATTTTAGTTACTTTTCATTAAATAATTACAATTAATATAAATATGTAGGTATATACATATGACAGAATCATAATATTAAGTGGCAAAATAGAAAGCGATTTTCCTTGCAGTTTTCCATTCTGTTTGTTGCACTATTATTTTTGTTCGTTACTATTTACTCATTCATAAATCACATTCTCAGAAATTAGACCATCCCAGGTAGGATTCGTATCCACGACCAACGCGCTATCCATTGCGCTACAGGTACAGGCGTTAAAATATTTCCTGATATTGAAAAAGAAACAGGTATGTCCATTCAACACAAGTAATTGTTCGCTGGTTCGTCGGTAATCAATTAATATAACATGATTAGAAATTTTATAAACTAAACAACAATATTTTAGTACAGTTTTTATTCCATGTTGGTATGTTGCTTGGCCCGCAAAGATACTCACTATGGCCTGTTATCTAATGTTTGTTTCAAATATTTTTTAAATACTTCTAAAATAGGTATCTTAAATATAAAATAAACTATAGGAACTTTGTAGTATTTGGAGTCCCCCTTAGCATATACGTATCGTTCTTAACTTACGCTGAGATTTTAGGTGGAATATATAATTTTTTTTTCTTCATATGTATCGATATATATTCCAACAAGAGAAATTATAAGAAATAAATCTGTTTTGACGTTTTAGGATACAGTACAATGTACCAAGTTTGAAGATCAAAATCAAATATATATATAAGAGGAATTGTTGATAAAAAAATTTAATTTTCTTCGCCAAAATTAATCCATTTTTAAAATTCTCCTAAATTAGGAATAAAATCCAATTTAACTTATAGTGTATCTAAATTTATTATATTTTTGTAAAATTCGTAAATTAACAAATGTTAGTAAATGTCATTATATATAAGGATTATACGAAAATCTTGATTACCCTTTTCTCGTTTTGTGTGTGTGTGATTCCCCCCAAAATATTGAATTAATCTACTTCTGTTATCTATATAATTGAGATGCAATTAGTTTTGCTACAATTTGAGAATTCTGACCTAAATGAACAGATTAATTCAAACAACTTGATCATCGCAATAAATCAAAGTAAACTTTATGCTATCGATTAAATTCTTTCTTAACCCTTTATCTACCGACGGTACTTATAAGTACCACTCACTTTAAAATCACATAAAATACCCATTTTTACGAATACTCTGACAATACTTTGTAGGAATATTATTTTGAATAAACTCTTCCAAGATATATCGCAGCACGGATTCTATGATGAGCATTTTAGCGGGGAAAGCGAATAGTTTTATAGCAAAAATTGCGTTTTCAGCTGACGGTGTTTTCAGCGGATTGCGAAGGTTGTCATTTTTGTTCCGAAAAAGTAGTTAATGTCATGAGGTAAGTGTCTTATTTTTTTTTTTTTGTTTTTTTGTTAATGAAGACCTTAGAAAATGATTTGACTATTTCTTTTAAGTGAAAAGTGTACATAATTAATTTTACAGCTGAATATCTTTAATTAATTAATTAGCGCTAATGGATTAAATTTCCCAAAGTTGATTTTTTTTTATGTATATTCCTTAATTTTTTAATGTAGTGAATCAAAAAACAAATATTGCATGAAAAAACTGCAGTAAATCATAATGTGGTAGATAAAGGGTTAATTATTATGCAGTATAATCTAAAGTTAGTATATTAAGATATCAGAAAATTGTTACTTCTTGAAAAGTAGACTATTAAATAGAAGATTAAATATTCGATTCTATCGAAGTCTGTCAAAGTATAAAGAACTTTTGTCATATTAAACGCCTTCCGGTCGTGAAAGTTTTGCTCAATGAAAAGGTTCACTAACCACAGTCAATACACCTCATAATTCTATACCATGGTCAAATGATGAGGTCGACCCTTGAACTGGCACCCACTCTTCACATCTTCGTCTATTGTGCGTTAAAGTTTAACGGAGTTTCTCTCGAATCCATTTTAAGTATCAGATGAACAAGTCTTAAAAACGACTGACACTTCAGATGTTGAACTTATTCAATTCTACAATTAGTTCTCTCTTTCCTAATATATCTTGTTCAAATTTTGAATCGTTAATAAAATACTTTCTATTCATTCATTCAAGCTCAAATACATTTTTTAAAAACTTGTAGTGGATGACACTTGATGTTAATACAGTTTTTCAAATATTAATTCATTAATTAAATTAAAAAACGAATCAATAATAACAAACAGAAATAATAGCCCAACAGTATATATAGAAAGGAAAATCGTTCGCTGTGTCTCTGTAGCGCAATGTACAGCGCGTTGGACTTCCACTCCGAAGGTCGTGGATTCGAATCCCACCTGGGGTGGCCTACTTTCTGAGAATGTAATTTCTTTTTTACTATACTATTTTATTAGAATATATAAATTTAATTAATGAATAAATAGTAATAAACATAATAATAGCTCAACACCCTATATCGAAAGGAAAAGGAAAATTACGAGGAAAATCGCTTTCTATTTTGTCCCTTAATACTGTGATTCTGTCATAAGTATATACATATTTATATTAATTGTAACTATTTAACAAAAAGTAACTAAAATAAATTTTTTCTTTTTGCCCTAAGAAGGAGTTGAATTAAACTTTTTTATATATATTACTTGTTTTTATTTTCGTTCTCTAAAAAATACTCTGTGAACAAAATTTGAATTTAAACAAAGCAAGTATTAAATATATATATACATGGCCTAAATAGGGATCAGACCCCCAAAACCCTTTATTTTTTCCCATTGGTTATAATTCTAAGATATTAATACGTAAAATTTAATTAAATATTTGTTATTAATGATTAATTTTATTAATTAATGCTATAATTATTTATTCAATAAGTTTTATGTTTTGTTCCAAAAATCGAAAAATCAAAAATAGCAATCAAGTGGTGAACTTTCAACCCCGGACCCCTTGAAAAATTCCCTTGTGGCTACGTATATGTAAAAAATTGCGCATTAAGAAAAAAATTTGAATTTTATATAAAGTTTTTTTTAAATTTTTAAAACGATTATAAAATAAAAAATATGTTTGGTTATTTGTTCATTTTAAGAAATTAAAAAAAAAAAATATTTAACAAAAATATTGGATTTATAAAAGAATCTTTTTTTCATGTTTAAAGTGACTCTTTCCTCTGACCTTTTTTTTTTTTTGGTGAGTTTTGTTGAAAAAATTTTTATTAAATATCTTTAAAAATTTAAAAATCTTTTTTTAGGCCAAATCGGATAAGGTTCAAGAAGAACTTGTTTATATTTGTAGAATGTATCAAGATTGGTCTTTGGGTTTCACCCTTTGCCGTAGGGCCCCGTCATCCGGGGCTTTCAAAACAATTCAACCTTTTGGAACTAGAACTAGGGATAGGCCTAAATTGAGATGGGCTGATTGTGTGGAGGACAATTTTAAAATTTTGAGAGTAACTAGTTGGAGAACTGTCGCTAAGCAGAAATCGGAATGGAAGAGGAATTGAGAATATCTTGGCCCACCCTGGGCTGTTGTGTCGATAAAAGAAGATTTGTTGAATGTAGGAATCTACAAAAATCATCCAAGATAAATTCTGTATTTGAGATACCATAATATATTCAGAAGATATATTTTTTAAAAGACATATAGCCGTGTATTATTTTTATCACTGAAATTGTAAACAATTAAAATTATATGTTCTACTAATTAAAATTATTATTATAGGTTTATTAAAATTATATGTTTTATGTTTCATAAAACGAATATAAAACACTTCAAAAATCAAACTAACTTTTCGCCTTGTTCAAAATTTTGTGGACTTACAAACGTTTATTTAAAGAAAGCTGTGAGAATAAAAATTTAATAATCTCGACTGAAAAAAAAAAGAGGGTTTGGGGACGAACCTCGTTCAAAAAAACAAAGGGCTTACCCAAGGGGACCCCCTCTCAAAAACTACACCACGCAAACGTTAGAACATTAAAACAAAAATTTTAGAACTTATCCGCACGTTCCCGGGGGGGGTGAATGAATATTAACGTCACATTATTCTACTACTCGAGGGCTTTTGATGACGGACTTCATAATTCTGAGCCATGGTCAAGTAACGAGGATGAACCGAGCTTTTTCAAATTCCACGCCCACCAATGGGGAAGTTTGGCCTCAAGATTTATCGCATCGCCTCCCCCCAAAGGTGGGCTTTCAGCGGTATTGGGCTGGACACGCGCCGGTCACCAGTCCGTTACCTTGACCACTAAGCTGTCGCGGTCACGTGCTGAGGCTTCACTTTGCCCCGCGGACAATATTCCTTTTTATTCATTACTTTTTAAAAAAATTTTAATTAGTTTTCTGTTGCTGAATTTATGAAAATATCAGACAAAGATCATCATATTCCAAAAGAAAATAATGGAGGGGGAAAAAAAAGGAAGGTTAAAATTAATGTCGACAGTTACTATCTCCTAAAATGATTTCTCCATACTGTGCGGCATTGATATGGGAAAAAATTGATAAAAAAAAATAATTGGATAAGATAAGGATAGTTTTCACAACTTAAGGTTCGATTTTATAGAACTTCGCGTGTCAAAAAAATGTATCTGATGATTAAATGCATCGCCCCCTCGAAATCCTTAAGTAAAGGTGCAATTGCTTAGTGGCCCCTATATTTATCATGATGTTCAGAGTCTTGGGCGATCAAGTAGAACGAAAATTGTGATGCCGATTACTTAAGAAGCCGTTTTGTGTATTCATTAAAGTTACTGCTCGTGAATATGAACTGAGCCTCAAATTGTTCCCAAAGTGGTCCTACGGACCCTCAGGGATCCCCGATATTATTCGAGGGTTTCGTGGAAAATTAAAATTGATTGGGGGGACCCTGAATAACGTCAGGGGGTCCACGCAAGATTTAATATAAAATTTTAAGAGATAATTATAATCAAGATTTAATATAAATTTTTCAATTTTTAATTTTATGAAAGTTTAAATAAATAATAATTCATTTGGTTATACCCGACTGGATGTTGAACTCTTTTGCGTGGGAACAAACTCAGATCTCAAACATAGACGAACCCATACTAATACAGGACCATCTTATTGAAATATCTGCAAACGAGGGACTTGAACCAATGTTTGAAAGGATACCACAAATTCTGGTCACAAACACAGATCCCAATTTTATATCTTGTATTATGGGTTATTGTACAGAAGTTGTTGACTACTTTCCGTCTTCTAATTTGGTATATCATTGATTCAGTGCCGTAAAACTCATCACAAAAAAGAAAAGAAAGAAACCGACTAAAAACTAGAGATCGTGGGGATTTGCGGTTGCTACACACAAACATTAAAATGGGCATAAATACACTCATATCTCGTCAAGCTCTTCCAAATTATTAATTTTTTAATTTTGTTTTAAACAAGAGTTATAATTTCAATAAATGATTCTCTTCAACAGAATGTTTTTTTTTTTAAATTTTTTTTTTATACTGTGCATTTATGTAGCTTTTTCACTTGGGGGTCCTTGGGAAAGTTTTGACTTTAAGGGTCCATGGTTTAAAAAAGTTTGGGAACCATTGATGTAGCGTTATGGGGAATAAGGAGACAGGCGTACTGTTTCAGATCTCATCCGTCATTTTATCTGCCTATTTCATCAATAGATGTGTAGCTGTACTGGGACATTAATATTTTAAGCCAACTATCAAAAGAAAACTTGGGTGTCATGTAACACAGTATGGGAGTTCGAAAAATGAAGTGTTAATAGACATTTCAACTTCAGTGTACGAAACTGATATTCGTCATCAATGTTTGTGAGATACGAAACTAAAAGTGAAAAAAAATCGATTTTTTGTTAGCAAATGGACGATTTCTAAGTGACTACCGTCGTAATTCCGTGATTTTTTTTTAAAGAAAAAACTGCTGAAAAAAGAAAATTGTTCAGTTTTGTTTCCTTCTATTTAGCAAACTCGCTTGCATTTTCGTGAATGATCCTGTAGGTTAAAATGAATTAAATAAAATCAAGATGGAATGTTGAAAAAAAGCCGAGATATAAATGAGAAATTTAAATAAATTTTATATATATACATTTTTTTTTCAATTCCTCTCTACTATTAGTTCACACTCTCCCTATATATATATATATATATATATATATATATATATATATATATATATATATATATATATATTTTCTTGTTTAAATTTTCAATCGTTAATAAAATACTTTTTATTCATCCACTCAGGTTCAAATACAATTTTTTAAACTTGTAGTGGATGACACTTGATGTTAATATAGTTTTTTCAAATATTAATTCATTAACTCTACTTAATTAATGAATAAATAGTAACGAACAAAAATAATAGTCCAACACCATATATAGAAAGGAAAATCGCTCGTTGTGTCCCTGTAGCGCAATGAATAGCGTGTTGAACTTCTAATCCAAATGCCGTAGGTTCGAATCCACCTGGGATGGCCTAATTTCTGAGAATGTGATATCTTTTTATTATACTATTTTATTAGAATACTTAAATTTAATTAATGAATAAATAGCAACTAACAAAAACAAAAAATAGTCCAACACCCTATATAGAAAGGAAAATCGTTTTCTATTTTATTACTTAATATTGTGTAATTAAATTATAATTAATATAAATATGTAAATACATATTTATATTAATTTTAATTATTTAATAAAAAGTAACTGAAATATAAAATTTTTCTTTGTTGACCTAAGTAGGAATTGACTTAAAAAAATTTTTTTTTAGTATTACTTGTTCTGTATTTAGCTTTAACCGTCCAAGCTGTAGTTGTTTTGTAGAACAAGCATAATGCTTTTACAAACAATATTAAGTATTTAATCAGTCCGAAAAAGTTTAATATTGATTAAAGCAGGAATATTAAGCTTACAAAAAATCATACAAGTGCATCATTTAGCTTTAAATGTAATATTCGGTATATATTACAACGTAATGATGTCTCTTCAATTTTGTTTTGAAATTCCTCTAAGAAACTATTGCTATCAATTTTTATTGAATTATCTAATTATTTCTACTGATAACTGCTATAACTATTTATGAATTGTATTAGTTTCATTTCACTTTTCAGGGCGTCAAATACAATTGTTATTTAAGTTTAAAACAACTGAGCACTTTTATAATATTTGAGTTAAAGAAAAAGGGGAGGGAATCACATTTAAAAAAATTCAAATACGTTACGTTCAAATACGTGAGTATATATTATAAAAAGGTTTTGAAAAAATGTGTTTATATCTAATGTTAATAATACACACACAAAAAAAGAAGAAAAAACTGAGCAGATTGATTCTCTTATTAGTAACTCCCATATCTGCTGTTATTAATAAAAGATATTTATGA